GGATGTTATGAATGAGAAGAAGCTGGATGTCCTGGCTTTAAGTGAAACAAAGCTGAAGGGGGGGAGATTTCAGGGGAAAGGGGAATAAATGGGATTAGGTCGGGGGTTTTAAAATAGAGTTAAGCAAAAGAAGGAGTGCAATAAGTTGAAGGATAAGCAGGCGGGAAAAAGAGGACTATAAATGTATTAATTAAAGGGATTATTGGAGAAAAAAATAAAGAGGGAGGGGAAAAGGGGGTTATAATAACTGTATGCACCTGAGAAGAGAAAGTTAGAGGAGAGAGAGAATTTTGGAAATTTTTTAGTGAATGCGGGGGGATTTTTGAATAAGTGAGAAGAATGGTGGTTGGGGATTTAAATTTTTCTAAATGGGTAAAAAAGTTAGGGAAAGGAGTAGTGGGAAAATTTTGGGGGTTGCCAGGGAAAAAGTAAAGGGGGTTGTTTTTAAATTTGAGCTATGTGTAGAAAGAAATTTGGAATAAGAAAATACAAAATTTTTTATGAAAAGAAAAAAATAAAATCAAGGGTATGATGTAGCCCCCAAAATGAAAGTATTTTTTTAAATTTTAAGTATTGGGGGAAAAAAGTTAAAGGGTGGGCTCCCGGGATTACATTTTTTTATAGGGGGGGCAATTTGATATACGGATCATTTTTTTAGTTTAAGCTACATTTAGAGTAAGATTTTAAAAGGGAAAAAGGGGAAGGTGGCAACAAAAAATTTAAAGGGAGGTGAAAGGTATAAACAAAGGGGAGGGGGAAATTCGGGGAGATATAACGACTATTGGCAAAAGGTGGGCTAGTCAAAGATAGTAGGGGGGGGGGTTAAAAGGGGGTTGGGAAAATAGTTTTAAAAATGCAGTTTTTAAGAATGTGGGGGCAAAATTTTTGTGGTTAAAAGGTGGGGGGGCAGGAGGAAAGAGGAGGGATTGGGGGAATGAAAAGAAAAAAGGGTGTGAAAAAAGAAAAAAGGGTAGTTTTAAGAGGTTTTCCCAAAGCAAAAGTGTTAAAAAAAAGAGCAAGAAATATGGAGAGAAAAAAAAAGGTAAAGAGAGGGGTTTGAGAGAGTGGAAAAGGAGAGCAATGAAAGAGTGGGAGGGGCACTGTCAAAAAAATTTTAATGAAAATAAAAAAAAATTTTTTGGAGTGATTTTAAGCAAGTTAAGAAAGCCTAGGAAAATAGGGAATTTGTCAGTTAAAAAAAAAAGTAGGGGAAATTAAAAAGAAGGGGAAAATGGAGGTAAAAGGGTAGATGGGGGAGAATAATTTTTAGGAACTTTTTAAAAATTTAAGGAAAAAACAGAGGGGCCCCTTTCATGCCCCTGGCAGGGAGGGATACCATTTTTTAGGGGTGAAGAAGAGCAGAATGTAAGTGTGGGGGAGGTACGTGAGGCATTACGTAAAATGAAAGGGGGTAAAGCAGCTGGAACTGATGGGATCATGACAGAAATGTTAAAAGCAGGGGGGATATAGTGTTGGAGTGGTTGGTACTTTTGTTTAATAAATGTATGAAAGAGGGGAAGGTACCTAGGGATTGGCAGAGAGCATGTATAGTCCCTTTATATAAAGGGAAAGGGGACAAAAGAGACTGTAAAAATTATAGAGGAATAAGCTTACTGAGTATACCAGGAAAAGTGTACGGTAGGGTTATAATTGAAAGAATTAGAGGTAAGACAGAATGTAGGATTGCGGATGAGCAAGGAGGTTTTAGAGTGGGTAGGGGATGTGTAGATCAGGTGTTTACATTGAAGCATATATGTGAACAGTATTTAGATAAAGATAGGGAAGTTTTTATTGCATTTATGGATTTAGAAAAGGCATATGATAGAGTGGATAGAGGAGCAATGTGGCAGATGTTGCAAGTATATGGAATAGGTGGTAAGTTATTAAATGCTGTAAAGAGTTTTTATGAGGATAGTGAGGCTCAGGTTAGGGTGTGTAGAAGAGAGGGAGAATACTTCCCGGTAAAAGTAGGTCTTAGACAGGGATGTGTAATGTCACCATGGTTGTTTAATATATTTATAGATGGGGTTGTTAAGGAAGTAAATGCTAGGGTGTTTGGGAGAGGGGTGGGATTAAATTATGGGGAATCAAATTCAAAATGGGAATTGACACAGTTACTTTTTGCTGATGATACTGTGCTTATGGGAGATTCTAAAGAAAAATTGCAAAGGTTAGTGGATGAGTTTGGGAATGTGTGTAAAGGTAGAAAGTTGAAAGTGAACATAGAAAAGAGTAAGGTGATGAGGGTGTCAAATGATTTAGATAAAGAAAAATTGGATATCAAATTGGGGAGGAGGAGTATGGAAGAAGTGAATGTTTTCAGATACTTGGAGTTGACGTGTCGGCGGATGGATTTATGAAGGATGAGGTTAATCATAGAATTGATGAGGGAAAAAAGGTGAGTGGTGCGTTGAGGTATATGTGGAGTCAAAAAACGTTATCTATGGAGGCAAAGAAGGGAATGTATGAAAGTATAGTAGTACCAACACACTTATATGGGTGTGAAGCTTGGGTGGTAAATGCAGCAGCGAGGAGACGGTTGGAGGCAGTGGAGATGTCCTGTTTAAGGGCAATGTGTGGTGTAAATATTATGCAGAAAATTCGGAGTGTGGAAATTAGGAGAAGGTGTGGAGTTAATAAAAGTATTAGTCAGAGGGCAGAAGAGGGGTTGTTGAGGTGGTTTGGTCATTTAGAGAGAATGGATCAAAGTAGAATGACATGGAAAGCATATAAATCTATAGGGGAAGGAAGGCGGGGTAGGGGTCGTCCTCGAAAGGGTTGGAGAGAGGGGGTAAAGGAGGTTTTGTGGGTAAGGGGCTTGGACTTCCAGCAAGCGTGCTGAGCGTGTTAGATAGGAGTGAATGGAGACGAATGGTACTTGGGACCTGACGATCTGTTGGAGTGTGAGCAGGGTAATATTTAGTGAAGGGATTCAGGGAAACCGGTTATTTTCATATAGTCGGACTTGAGTCCTGGAAATGGGAAGTACAATGCCTGCACTTTAAAGGAGGGGTTTGGGATATTGGCAGTTTGGAGGGATATGTTGTGTATCTTTATATGTGTATGCTTCTAGACTGTTGTATTCTGAGCACCTCTGCAAAAACAGTGATAATGTGCGAGTGTGGTGAAAGTGTTGAATGATGATGAAAGTATTTTCTTTTTGGGGATTTTCTTTCTTTTTTTGGGTCACCCTGCCTCGGTGGGAGACGGCCGACTTGTTGAAAAAAAAAAAAAAAAAAAATTGTATATTAAGTAAGTTCAAGCTTTTGAAGAGTGGTTGGGTGTATTGTCTGGCGCTGGAGTTTGTGATCATCCGCACGGTCGCTTTTTGTTGGGTTATTAAAGGTTTAAGGCTGTGGTAGATCCCCAAGCACAAATACCATAGGTGAGATAAAGGTATATTAGAGAGTGATATAAAGTAAGGAGTGCCCTTTAGGTTATATAGTATCGTATCTTGGAAAGGATACCTTCTGTTTTGGAAACTTTCTTAGTTATATGCTGGATGTGGATCTGAAATTTAAGATTACAGTCAAGGTGGAGACCTAGAAATTTGCCCTCAGTGTGTCTTGTAATGAGTGAACCATTTATTGATATGTTTAGCTAGATATTTAATGCTCTGTTTCCAAAAAACATGAAGTAGGTTTTGTCTATATTGAGAGTAAATTTGTTGGTCATCATCCAGTTTGATATTTTATGTAGCTCACTGTTTACAGTGTTACTAAGTATAGCTGGGTTTGGGTAGGAGAAAACATAAGTGGTGTCATCTGCAAATAGAAAGGGTTTAAGGAGTTGCAATGCATCTGGGAGGTCATTGATGTAAATAAGAAAGAGTAGAGGACCTAGGATGCTTCCTTGTGGCACTCCAGCAACTACAGGAAGTAGTGGGATAAGATGACAAAAAAGGGTACATAGAATTGAGGGTGACAGGAAAGAGGTAAATGTCATCCCAGGAAGGGCTGGAGGAAGGGAGTAAAGAGGTTTTGAGCGCTAGTGGTTTCAGGATCCGGCCGGCTTGTGTGAGTGTGTTAGATTGGAGTGAGTGGAGACAGGTGCTCTGTGTGCTTGAAACATTTGTGAAAATGAAAAGAGAAACCTGTTAGCCAGACTTGAGTCCTGGAGGTGGGAATGTCAACACCTGTGCTCTGGAGGAGGACGGTGCAGTTCAACAGATCGTGGTGTCTGTGTACTTCTTGCAAAGACTGCTGTTGAATAAATGATGGTGAATGTATTTTTTTTTTTTTTTTTTTTACATACATTTGTGAAGGGATTCAGGGAAGCCAGTTAGCCAAACTTGAGTCCTGGAGGCAAGAAATACTGTGCTTGCACTATGAAGAGGGGCGGGGATATTTGCAGTTTGGAGGGGCATCTGAACTTGTAGTATCGGTATGCTCTGGCAAGTGATAGAGAGAATGGTAGTGAAAGCATTCCTTTTTCGGGTCACGCTACCTCAATGGGAGACGGCCAGTGTGCAAGGGGCTTGGACATACAGAAAGCATGTGTTAGATAGGAGTGAGTGGAGACGAATTATTTTTGGGAACTGACGATCTGTTGGAGTGTGTAGAGATTCAGGAAAACCAGTTAGCTGGACTTGAGTCCTGGTTGCAGGAAGTACAGTGTCTACACTTTAAAGGAGGGGTTTGGGATATTTGATGTTTGGTGTATCATCTGAACTGTTGTATCTGTGCACCTCTGCAAAGACAGTGATAAGTGTGAATGATGATTTTTTTTTTTTTTGGGGGGGGGGGATTGTCCTTCCTTAGTGGGAGATGGTCAGTGTGTCAAAAAAAAAAAAATTGTTTTTTAAGGATTGTTTAGATTTAGTGTTTTCTGTCTGTATATCTCGATAGACAAACCTTCATTGGTGTTAACTTCAAGTTGAAGATGACATCTCATAAGGCTGTTTCAGTTTTTCTATGCAGTTGTTGCATATGTATAAGCATATATAAATAATCTCGCATGCAAGTTCGCTACTAACAATACATTATTTGTTACCCCACCAGATAGTACATTCTATATCTCGCCGACCATTGCCCCTGCAGGAACATTAGGTACAGTCTTGTCACCTGTTGCAGCTTTGTGTCAAGAAGCTTATTAGATGTGCACTTTAAGTTCTATGTGTGTGTAATCATAATTCTGTAATAGCTGGAGCTTGTATATTTCTGCTATAGCACCACAGTACTGAACTACACATGAGTTTTTGTGTGCTTTAAGTATTTAAGCAAAACCTTTCACTTCAAAGAAATATGATAATTTCTAAATTACGAGATAGTTTTAAATGTAATGTAAGTTTCTTGTTAAATATTTTCTGTACTTGTATTCCATAATAAGTGTGTCAGATTTGTTTTAACTTAGTGTAAATATGTGGAGAAAATCATATTGAAATTATCAAAAGAAGATTAAGGAAGTATAATGATTAACTTGAATAATATCTTTGTAATTCCCCTTCATTTGTAAAAATCACAAGAAGAATAAAAGATTTAATTGAAATTATGCATAACATTACCACCTTTTTACTACTTGCCATTACATAAATGGCAAAACCCCCATAAAATGGATTAATAGCAGTGAATGGGTGTCCATTTTAGAAAAAAATTTGTTTTATTGAAAGTGTCAGTTACACAGACATGTAAAATTGGGACCATTTATGAAATGCAATGATGATAAGACTGTATAACACCTTGCTCTTTCCTCCTCTTAACAAATCTTAGTTCTCTTGCCCCATATATCAAATTGCTTACTCCTTTCTGTCATCAGCATTCACCAACTTCTTAAGATATTCTCTCAATCTTTCTAGAACATCCAACTCCCTATCTGTTGTCTTAATATTTTTATTCTTAACTGCCAGGTCTATTTGCTCCCTAGGTTTTCTTACCCAACGTATCTCTGTCCAAGGCTGTTTCTTATTCTCAACAAAATTTGCTGAGAAAACTTACACATTCTATCCTTTGCTCCTTTTTTTTTTTACCACTCCCTCACTAGTGTTTAACCCTTTCAGGGTCCGTGCCGTAGATCTACGGCTTTACGTTCAGGGTCCAAACCGTAGATCTACGCCATGAGCTAAGCTCACTCTGATAAGCAGTGAGTGGTAAATTTGGGCCTAGATATGAGAGAATACATCTATGTGGTATGTGTGCACCACATAAAACAAATCCTACAGCACACAGTGTATAATGAGAGAAAAAAAAACTGAGACCGTGATTTTCGATAAAAACAGCGACTTTGTAGTGTTTTTTCGTATGTTTTTTATAGTTGTATTTGCGATTTCTTGGTCTCATTTGATAGAATGGAAGACATATTACAGAAATAGAGATGATTTTGATTGGTTTTAGCACGTGAAATGGCTTGAAACTGAGCTCAAAATAGCGGAAATGTTAAATTTTTGCTGATGTTCAAGAGTAAACAAACGACCTCACACGTCTAATACATGCTGGCTGGTGGGGCTGATATGCATTCACAAATGTGGTGATGATATTTATACAATTATTACAATATTGCATAACAGTAAATTTTTTATTTTTTGGTTTGAATAAAAATTCATTATGTGAATAAAAAATCTAAATGGAATTAATTTGTAAAGCCTCAAAACATAACTAATGAACAGAGGAAATGTTAGTTTAGTACCAGGAATGCCTACATTGCTTATTCTGGACCTTATTTTGAAATTGGAATATTCTGAACTTTCTGTTAAATTGGCCAAATTACCAATTTCCGATCACTTTATTTTGTAGTTGAAACAGTTGACTTGGTGAATTCTTGTACTCAATCGATAGAATAGAAGTAATACTAGTGAAATAGCTAAGAATTTGGTCAACTGGAATAATGTAATTGGCCTAAAATGGGAGTCGAAGTCGGCAAAATCGCAGATTCGTAAATATCGCTGACACATCAAAATTCGCGAGAACATAATTTCGTCAATTTTCCATCAAATTTCGTACTTTTTGTTTTATTACCTTCAGAAAAAGATTCTTTACCATTTCATAAGAAAAAAATAGCAATTTTTTTTTTTTTTAATTCTTGGACCCTGGTGCACACTTTGAAATTTGGCCTCTGGACCCTGAAAGGGTAAACCTCTCCTTTTCTTACCATATATTCTGTCTTCCTTACATCATTTTAACAATGTAATAATTTTTTTATATGCTAGCTCGCTCTTTCTTACCATCACCATTTTTTTTTCCATTCCACCAATCGTTCTGCTTCCCTTTTTCACCCACCCTCCTTTAACTACATACTTGCACATAATTCTTAAAGCCACATTAATTCTCCTTAAGCTATTTGTTATGTTACCCTTCAAGGGGATGCCTTGATTCTAGTGAAGGGATTTGATCCAAGAAATTGGAGCTGCCCTCCCGTTCATCAGATCAAACCTTATTAGTTAATACTTCACAGGCACTTTATGATCTCTATGGGTTTAGCACATCTCCTTGAGTATAATAATAGTAACCCTCATTACTTTCTTTCATCCTAGCATACCTTTCTTCCAAGAGTTGCATTGAGTAGTCTTTGGATGCAGAAATGTCATTGTAATATTGTCATTGGGCAATACAAACTGTATAATTGCTTTGTCCCTAAATATAAAGGGTTACATGGATTAGGTGTTTTTAAAAGTGCTACTGTGAAATTTGGTATGAATGGCTGCCTTTTCTATGTGAAAATATCAGCAAAATCAGTTCATAAACTTTGTAAATGATTTACATCTTTTAAGTGCTCATCTCAAAAATTAGTTACATTTGGTTATTTTTTCTTCATAAAAATCTCAAGTCCCACGTTAAAAACAAGAAAATAATCAGCACAGCTAGAAACGCATGCATCGTCACTCATTCAGTAAATGTTTTGCCAGAAGTGTGACAGTATTCCTGTCCATCCTTCAGGGTGCAGGCAATGTACTTCTCACCTCCAGAACTGTACTGGTAGTTTGAAATGTTGAACAAGAACATGCTCTAAACTAGTAGAATGACATTGGCTTTTAAAGTTTTCTCCAACTGTCCATAGTTGTGGAAGGCCCTCCTACTACTGCATAAAATGATAACATAGATGTTCAGCAATATAACTGTATGCCCAGCAAGACGAGTTCCTTTGTGGTGAAGATTTTTTGCCAGTTTTTAGCAAATTTTCTCTTATGTGAATTTTACTACTGTACCACAAGTAACCATGTTGTTTCCAATAGTAATAATAATTACAATGTACAGTACTGTACCTGAAAAAGAATTATATTTAGATGACAATATTATTTGACTGTTTTTCTGCTTTTAAACACAAGAAATTATTACATTATTTATTCCAGTGAAATATTAACTTGCACTTCCTTTCATTAAATTTTTATTGATATTAAATATTATCTTTTGAGTATTTAGCCCTTTCAGTGTTGAGACCCCTGACCCTTAACCCTTCGACTGTTTCTGTCGTGGATATACGTCTTACAAGCCAATGTGTTAGACGTATATACACGTATACTCAAAAATTCTAGCGGCTTAAAATCAAGCGGGAGAAAGCTGGTAGGCCTATGTGTGAGAGAATGGGTCTGTGTGGTCAGTGTGTGCAGTGTAAAAAATCTTGCAGTAAGTAGTGCATAATGAGAAAAAAAAACCTCCAACTGTGTTTTTGGATTAAAACGCCGACTTTGAGGTGTATTTTCGTATAGTTATTATGGTTATATTCTCGTTTTCGTAGTCACACTTGATAGAATGGAAAACACATTATAGAAATGGATGTAAGTTTGATTGATTTTACTATGAAAAGGACCTTGAAATGGAGCTCAGAGTAGGGGAAATGTTTGATTTTTGCTGATGTTCAAGTGTAAACAAATGACGTCATTGTTCAATAAATGTCCAACTAGCCATTCTAATATGCAGTCATAAATGGGCTGACATTATTTATACAATTATTACAATATTGCAGTAGTCTGCATAACAGTAAATCTTCTATTTTTTGTTTGAATAAAAATTCAAAATAGAAAGCAGGAGTAATATCAGAGGGGCCTGGAGACGTGACTGATGAGCAAAGAAAATGTTATTTTAGAGCCAGGAATGTCTGCATTGTTCATTCTGGAACCTGTTTTGAAATTGGCATATTTTTTAATTTGCATCGTGAAATTGGCCAAATTGCCAAATTCTGACCGCTTTATTGGGTAGTTGAAATCGGTAAATGGGCAGTTTCTTGTACTCAATCGATAGAACAAATGGAGTTCTAAAGAAATAGCTATGAGTTTGGTCAACTGGAGCAATGGAATTGGCTGAAAATAGGGCTCAAAGTGGGTGAAATCGCCGATTCGTAAATATCGCCGAGGTCACTAACTTTGCGAGAGTGTAATTCCATAAGTTTTCCATTAAATTTCATACTTTTGGTGTCTTTTTTTTTTTTTTTTTTTTTTGCAACGCCAGTAGACACCTCAGGATTTGGGGTTGCGACAGTCAAAGGGTTAACTCAATCTCTGTGTCAAAAAATTAAAAAAAAAAAAATTTTTCTAATGAAATGATAGAAAAACTTTTCCCAATGGTAACGAAACCAAAAGTACAAAATTTGATGGAAAACTTATAAAATTATGCTCTTGCGCAGTTAGGGATCTTGGCGATATTTACGCATCGGCAATTTCACTCACTTTGAGCCCTATTTTCGGCTAATTCCATTGTTCCAGTCAACTAAAATCATAGATATTTTGCCAGAACTCCATTTGTTCTATTGAACGAGTACAAGAAACCACCCATTTACTGATTTCAACTACCCAATAAAGTGGTTGCAATTTGGTAATTTGGCCAATTTTACACAAATTTCAAGAGATGCCAATTTCAAAATAGGGTCCAGAATAAACAAAGCAGACATTCCTGGCACTAAAATAACATTTTCTTTGTTCATTAGTCACATCTCCAGGCCCCTCTTGCTTTCCATTTTGAATTTTTTGAGCTCAATTTCAAGATACTTTTCATCATGAAACCAATCAAAATCATCTCCATTTCTGTAATGTATCTTCCATTCTATCAAATGAGACCAAGAAAATGAAAATACAACCATAAATACCATTCAATAATACACCGCAAAGTCGCTGTTTTAAACCAAAAACATGGTCAGTTTTTTTTTTTTCTCATTATGCACTGCAGGCTGCAGGACTTTCTTCATGCTGCACACACTGACCATGAAGACTCATTCTTTCATATGTAGACCTATCAGCTTTCTTCCACCAGATTTGAAGGAGCTAGAATTTTGGCGTAGTATTACGGGACTGACACTGGCGCTCAAGCCATAATATTACGGGACCGACACTGAAAGGGTTAAGGAAATACAGTACCACTCAAGGGTAGCCTATAATTGGCATTATCTCCAACAAGTTGTACCCTTTTAAATTTTTATTTTCATAAATTGTTTTTTGTCTTCTACAGTTGAAAGGGCTCGAAAAGGGCTCGAGGAAGGTAACAGCGACATTCTTGGGCTGGTATCCGAAACAGACAGCATAACAGGTAAGTGAAAAGCATTGGTAGGTTGGTAGACAGCAACCGCCCAGGGAGGTACTATCGTCCTGCCAAGTGAGTGTAAAACAGAAACCTGTAATTGTTTTACATGATAGTACGATTGCTGGCGTCTTTTTTCTGTCTCATAAACATGCAAGATTTCAGGTACATCTTGCTACTTCTTACACTTAGGTCACACTACACATACATGTATACAAGCATATATATACACACCCCTCTGGGTTTTCTTCTATTTTCTTTCTAGTACTTATTCTTGTTTATTTCCTTTTGTCTCCATGGGGAAGTGGAACAGAATTCTTCCTCTGTAAGCTATGCGTGTTGTAAGAGGCAACTAAAATGCCGGGAGCAAGAAGCTAGTAACCACTTCTCCTGTATAAATTACTATATTTAAAAAGAGAAACTTTTGTTTTTGTTTTTGGGCCTTCCTGCCTTGGTGGGATATGGTCAGTTTGTTGAAGAAAAAAATATATATAAGAACAGTTTAGAAGCATATATGTAGAAAGATACACAACATATCCCTCCAAACTGTCAATATCCCAAACCCCTCCTTTAAAGTGCAGGCATTGTACTTCCCATTTCCAGTACTCAAGTCCGGCTATATAAAAATAACCGGTTTCCCTGAATCCCTTCACTAAATATTACCCTGCTCACACTCCAACAGTTCGTCAAGTCCCAAAACTATTCTTCTCCATTCACTCTTATCTAACATGCTCACACATGCTTGCTGGAAGTCCAAGCCCATCGCCCACAAAACCTCCTTGACCTCCTCCCTCCAACCTTTTCGAGGACGACCCATACCCCAACTTCCTTCCCTTACAGATTTATATGCTCTCCAAGTCACTCTACTTTGATCCATTCTCTCTAAATGACCAAACCACCTCAACAACCCCTCTTCAGCCCTCTGACTAATACTTTTAGTAACTCCACACCTCCTCCTTTTTTCCACACTGAGAATTCTCTGCATAATATTTACACCACGCATTGCCCTTACAGAGGACATCTCCACTGCCTCCAGCCGCCTCCTTGCTGCAGCATTTACAACCCAAGCTTCACACCCATATAAGAGTGTTGGTACCACTATACTTTTGTACATTCCCTTCTTTACCTCCATGGATAATGTTTTTTGTCTTCACAGATACCTCATCGCACCACTCACCTTTTTTCCTTCATCAATTCTATGGTTAACCTCATCCTTCATAAACCCATCCACTGACAAGGCAACTCCCAAATATCTGAAAACATTCACTTCTTCCATACTGCTTCTCTCCAATGTGATATCCAGTTTTTCTTTATCTAAATCATTTGATACCCTCATCACGTTGCTCTTACCTATGTTTACTTTCAACTTTCTACCTTTACACACCCTCCCAAACTCGTCTACTAACCTTTGCAACTTTTCTTTAGAATCTCCCATAAGCACAGTATCTTTCATCACACCCTTTACTTCATCATTCCACCAATCACTTCTTTCTCCTCCTGCACCCACCCTTCTATAGCCACAGACTTCTGCCCCACATTTTAATACTGCATTTTTAAAACTATTCCAACCCTCTTCAACCCCCCCCCCCACTACTCATACTTGCACTATCCCACTTTCTGCCAATAGTTGTTTATATCTCACCCTAACTTCCTCCTCCCTTAGTTTATACACCCTTACCTCTCTCTTACTTGCTGTTGCCATTTTCCTTTTGTCCCATCTACCTCTTACTCTGACTGTAGCTACAACTAATAATGATCCGATAAATCAGTTGCCCCTCTATAAACATGTACATCCTGGAGCCTACCCATCAACCTTTTATCCACCAATACTTAATCTAACAAACTACTTTCATTACGTGCTATATCATATCTTGTATATTTATTTATCCTCTATTTCATAAAATATGTATAACCAAACCTCTTTCTACACATAACTCAATTAAAGGCTCCCCATTTTCATTACCCCTGGCACCCCAAATTTACCTGTTACTCCCTCCACAAGATTTTTACCCACTTTAGCATTGAGATTCCCAACCACAAGTGCTCTCTCACTTGGTTCGAAGCTCCCCACGCACTCACTCAACGTTTCCCAGAATCAATCAATCTCTCTCTCTCTTCTTCTTCTCTCTCTTCTATCTCTCTTCTCATCTCTCTTCTTCTCTCTCTTCTCTCTCTCTATCTCTCTATCTCTCTCTCTATCTATCTCTCTACTATCTCCTCTATCTCATTCTCTCTCTTCTCTCTACTCTCTCTCTTCTCTCTTCTCTCTCTTCTTCTCTCTACTATCTCTCTTCTACTCTCTCTATCTCTCTATCCTCTCTATCTCTCTCTCTCTCTATCCTCCTCTCTCTATCTCTCTCTCCTTCTCTCTCTCATCTCTCTCTCTCTTCTCTCTCTCTATCTCTCCTCTCTATCTCTCTCTCTACTCTCTCTCTTCTCTCTCTCTATCTCTCCTCTCTCTCTCTCTATCTCTCTCTCTCATCTCTCTCTCTCTATCTCTCTCTCTCTCTCTCTCTCTCCTCTCTCTCTCTTCTCTCTCTCTCTCTCTCTTCTCTCCCCTCTCTCTCTCTCTCCTCCTCTCTCTCCTCTCTCTCTCTCTCTTCTCTCTCTCTCTCCTCTCTCCTCTCTCTCCTCTCTCTCTCTCTCTTCTCTCATCTCTCTCTCTCTCCCTCTCTCTCTCTCTCTTCTCTCTCTCTCTCTCTCTCTTTTTTTTTTTTTTCTCAAGGTGCATAAACGCTCACTATAACGCACTTTTCACATTCAACCCTTATTTTACACCACATAATCCTTGAATTTATACATTCATATTCTCTTTTCCTGCCATATCTTATCCTTCAACTTTATTGCTGCTCTTTCTTTAGCTCTAACTCTATTTGAAGCCCCTGACCTAATCCCATTTATTTCTCTCCTCTGAAACTCTCCCAGCCCCTTCAGCTTTGTTTCACTTAAAGCCAGGACATCCAGCTTCTTCTCGTTCATAACATCCACAATCATCTCTTTCTTATCATTCGCACAACATCCACACACATTCAAACATCCCACTTTGACAGTTTTCTTCTTTTTCTTTTTAGTAGGCTATACTGGAAAAGAGGTTACTAGCCCATTGTTCCCAGCATTTTAGGTGACTTTTACAGCACGCATGGCTTATGGAGGAAAGATTCTTATTCCACTTCCCCATGGATATGAAGGGAAAAGCAATAAGAACAAGAAGCATTAAGAAAACTCAAATGAGTGTGTATACAATAAACATGTACATGTATGTGTAGTGTGACCTAAGTGTAAGTAGAAGTAGCAAGATGTACTTGAAATCTTGCATGTTTATGAGACAGAAAAGAGAGACCAGCAATCTTATCATCATGTAAAACAAATACAGGCTTCCTTTTTCCACTCAATTGGTAGGACGGTAGTACCTCCCCAAATGGTTGCTGTCTACCAACCTACTACATACCTATTTATAAATCTTAAAATATTTGATTTTCCCATGCTGATTCGTGATGATTGTCCTCTTTACAGTGTACATATACAATAAAATTTCAAATTAATGAACCCTCATTTAATGAATTTTGAAAAGTACATGTACAGACAAAAAATTGGCCAGATAAACATTGGAATCATCAGGCACGATAGAAAAAGTACATAGATTCCAGATTTTGTTTGTAACAATAGTGTCTGTTAGTCTTCTGAAACAATGGCCCAAGTTCAATGATTCTGATGTTTGTCCAGTACAGACTAAAGTGTCCTCATCCTTGACCTCTAAGGGCAGTTAGCAATGGCTTCTAGAGCAAGTGGTGTTGCCAAGAGGAAATGTGAATCTGAATGTTAAGCAGAAACTTTAACTAATAAGGAAGGTTGAATCTGGCATGTTGGTATCACAGTTATGTGAGGAATATGCTGTCAAGAAAGTGTCTTGATATCCATCTTCTCACCCATCTACAATTTCACTTGTGGAGCTTTACAGCTCCTCTGATACAGAATAAAGGTTATTTTTATGTCATAGCTGTTGATCACAGCAAGTTTTGCCTCATCTCTTTACTTCAAAATGTGAATATAATTACCATTAATTACTGTACAATTAGTATACTGTTTTCTGCTATACACATACAGTATTATTGATAAGTAAATATTGTAGTTCAGAACCTATGAAGAATCTGCAATAACATACACCCTCTTGCCTTATTAGTGTTTTAATTTGAGGGTTCACTACAGGTGCAGAATATACATACAAACACACATGCAGACTCATACTCATACACACACATATGCATAGGGTCACAGCTACCAACAGTGCTCTGGACATTTAGTGTCACTGGACTGGTCCTAGGAGGGCCTCAGTAGTCAGTGGCAGTGTCAGTGAGCAAACTTATGACAAAGTATCCAAAGTTAGACAAATGAGTTTGTAACAAAAAAATGATGAAAAACACTTCAATAAGAAATCATCAAAAAAGCACTGTTTACAATACATCACAAATTCAGCAGTCATCAGCAATATTAAAAACCAAGACTTGGTGTCAGGACTACTGTCAGGATGTTTCACTAGCCTGTTGTGTAGCATGTCTGGTCAGTAATAGGTTCTTCTCTGGTATTTTTATAACTGCCATTAACTAACCACTAGGTTTAGTGGGCTAGAAGCCCTCAGTAGGTATTCGCAGTAAACAACCCTTTCTGTTAGTAGAAGATAATTATTTACATGGGAATATATTATAATACAGTAGAAAGAAATGCTGGCAGAGCTTAATGACCAGATACAAGGGAGGCAGATAACAGACGAAGATGAGGAAGTACCCTAATAAAAACAGTTAACATTGCAATAGTTACTTGAGCAGTTCCATATTATTAATAAAGTTGTAGAATTTTTCACTGAAGAGGACCCTAACAAATATAGCAGCACTGCCTTGAAACAGGTTTTGGAGCATCTGATGATGTCTTACTATCAGCTATATAAAATACTACAGGGTAAAATAAATGAGAGACACTGCAGAATTCCTCAGTACTTCAGTACAGTCATCAGT